CTGATCTTTGATTGCTTGTGTATGGGATTTTTGGCAATCCGGCAAACTGCTTTCAGCTTCTCAAGTGTTTCACAGACCAAAGGAAGAATTTGTAATCAAGAAAGTATTTGTTGAATTAATTTATTTGGAAAGTTATGAATAGTTGTTGCCTGAGCCACAACATACAAACATTTCCTGGTAGCCTGAGCTTCATCGAGGCCTGCACCATGACCAGTCAACTTGACCAGCTATAAGGAATCAAACAGGAACAAGTTGATGAACCGCTCAGAACCCATGTATCATCTGCTCATTCTCGCTGCAGTGGAAGAAATGATGTAGCAACCTAGCTAGCTCGCGTATACTGCAAGACAATCAACCAAAACTTCTGCCTTATAGGTGATTCCATCAGCTGTAAAATGCTGTGTTAAGCTGATCGCTACATTCACTGCTGCTGTGCCACAACAGTATAGACTCTACTTTTAAACTACCATTAGAAACTGGAAAACTGGAAAAAGTAGAAAGTCTGAGTCTAAGCAACGCCTAGACAAGCTAACCTCAAGCGACTTGGATGACAATGTCACCTTTTCTGCTGAAGACAGGGAGATCCTGCACCTCATCCCTAATCGACTACAAAAGCTGGAACTCTTAAAAGATTTAAAATATGATGTCTTTGCACTTAAGCTGTCGGTTGAGCAGAGGAAAAAACTTTGCTGAAAGAAGACGTTTCCAACCAGGGAAGAATAAATCTGGTGAATGAAAATGCAAAACTCAAACAGATTTTGTAACACCCCCAGTACCGACACTCACCAGAACATTCATGCAGTAACTACTTGGCAGCCTCCCTGTTAACTCAGCATATTTTCAGACTTCACGTGATCCCCCAGGACATTGTGTCTAACAGGGGTCCTCAGTTTGCTTCCCAAGTTTGGAGGTTTTTCTATCAGGCATTAGGGGTGTTGACCAGCATCTCCCCCAAACCAACGGCCAGACAGAGTGGGCGTATCAAGATCTGGATCTCCCCGCTATGTCACTTGTCATTATCCTGTCTCCTGATCTACCCATATCTTGGGGGGTAGAATAGGCCCACAACTCCCTGGTCTGCTCCGCCATAGGTATGTTCACCATTCATGGCTTCAAAGGGTTTCCAACCTCAACTGTTTGCCGCGCAGGAGGCAGGAGTTGGTGTTCTCTCAGTGCAGGAGCATCTTTGTTGTGTCTGCTGAGTTTTGGCGGCTCTCACCCATACCACAACATGCAATCAACGCATGGCAGATCAACAATCGATCAAGATTGTTTTTACTGTAATGATATACCATGAAGCCAGGACTGCATGGGTTTACGTACTCTTCTCAAACCACTGTCTTGCTCTGCTCCAAATGCAGACTGAGAGAGCGATTCCTGGGCACATGTACCAAAGCGCGACAAGGGGGAGCTGTAAAACATGAAAATACTCGACATATGAATATAAAAATAAAGATACATAAAACATGAAACTATTTGTCTGTAAAGACAATCTTCTAACAATATAAGAACTTGAATATTAAATACATCTATACAAGTACAAGAAATCCATACTTGTCCCTCCTCATGGAACATCCCACCTGATTGGTTGGTGAGGACCAGACTCTGGAGCGCTGGCCTGTATGGGTTAGCCTTTAGCCTAGTGTGTAATCCAGCTCACTTTCCCTGCTTCTTTTTTTCCTCTTCCTCCAGTCAAAGATAGGCTTTTCTTGCCTTGCTTTCATAATTCATTGCATTGACCTTGCGGTTCACCCATCCTGGCAACAGACATTGAAAATAGTTTATATAACAAGATAAATTTTCTTTTTCAAATAAGACAATTTCAGAACCACTTAAAGTCACCTTATAGGGGCTTAACTAATAAAAGTTACACATTTCCATTCAATCACCAAACAATAGTCAACCGTACACAAATTGAGCATGATTCTAAAATGCAATTTATATGTGAAAATCTGCTTAATCCATTTAGTGCCTCGCCATATGTATGTGATAATACTTTCATTTTATAAATTGTCCACTTTAAAGTTCCAGTCTAAGAATTTGTGATCACTACGTAGCTGGTTTTAATTAACTGACTATACAGGAAATTAACTGTTGTAGAAGTGAATGGGAGATCAACTCAATGTTTCATCATTGTTGATGTGGTTTGTTATCAGATGGTTGACTGAGGCCATGAATATTAGTTGCTAGCATGGCCCTGCCTTCTTGCCTCCATTTAGGTACAATGCACAGGTCTTGTTTTCTTCATACACAAACAAACATACCTCGTTGATGCAACCTTAACCATGACATGTTTCGGAAGAAGTGCTCATCACATCACGCCCAAGAAGTGCTTATCACATCACCCTATTAGCAATTACTGTGCGTGTGTGTTTGTGTAGTACACGTTTCTAACAAATTAAATTGTAACTGCAGAGGAAAAACAAGGTTGACTGTGTGTATGTCTGTGCTGATTTGACTGCGGAGGAGAGGTTGAGCTCACAGCAGAATGAATGTTGTGAAAGGAGAAAATGAGTCAGATGGAGGCAGCATTCAATAGTCCTCAGTGGCTGCACACTTCTATTGCCACTTCAACACAATCAAGTCTGTCGTGTAATGCAATGTCAAAAAGACACTGAGAGGGGGAGACTGACAACAAGAAAAATATGCTCCTCTGTGGTTTTTTGCATGTATATTTGAGAGCCTGAACCACTGCGCTAAAATACAGGGAGAATACTCTTTTTGCTTTCTTTGTAACTCTGCTAAATTTGTGGTGCAGTGTTTCCTCTAGAATAGGATTAGAACAGTTGACAAAAAATCTATTCATACACAGTGATTTAGTGCCAAGGTTTGCAGCGCTGTTGAGACCATTTGATTTCTCAGAGTTTTAGCTGCAGGGCTCTATCATCCTGAAACATCTTCTTTTACATCGTTCTGTCTGTCAGTCCATATGTGGTACATGTATCTTGTGAGCCATTCCTCTAATCGAAACCACACCTGGCATGTGTTTTCTTCTGATCATGGGGAGTACAGTGCCGGGTTTGTACATCTCAAAAAGTTGAATAATCAAGTAACCAAATGTTATGGCCCCCTCTTGTGTCCATCCCTTTTCTGTGTAGTTTTGTTTATGCAAGCCTTTTAAATGAATTTTACCATCTCTTTTTTTTAACAAAGTTTCTGAAAGGACTAAAATATCAGGATTGAATGGATGGAAAAGGAATGTTTGTTTACCTAATTTCTATCACAATGCTACGGATATTGATATGAATCAGTCCAAGTCCTTTCCTCCTCTTGAAATTTGTGGATGTGTATACAGGTGATGTAAAAAGTCAAGAGGAGCAAATAGTAAAGAGTGGTGAAGATTACCCACAAGAATGTGACTACCAGCCAGCTTGGATGCAAACTGTGTTGTACAAACATCGGAGCATGATTCCAAATCAAGTTGAAGTTATGAATGAAACCAATGGTATGGGTGCTGCATAATCCTTGCTGGCAAAAGTCCAGTGTTCCTGTTGGTAAGGGGTCACTGCAATCAGGGTTTTTTGTGGTACACCCGCCCAGGGGTTTTGCGCCTTTGCTGCAGCATGACAGGGAGGAGAGCTGGCTATTATTTACGCTTTGCTCCAATTGTCACCCATGGTGAATCAGGCTGTGCCTCAGCATTCTCAGGTTTGTGGAAATCCCATGAGACATGGAAAAATAGGTCTCATTATCCATAGCTTGAGCAGAGCAGCCAGAGATTTGTCTTCTCCTGGATCTCAGGGTCGGGATGTGTGATGCCTGAGTCATGATGATGATGATGATGATGTTGTGGTGAAGCCTAAGATGAGCTTGTCTTTCTCCTTGAGCTCAGCCTTCAGAGAAGCAACACATTCCCCTAGTCCCCTTAGCCCTACCACTTGGCCCTAACCCTTCGTTTTGCATGTGGCTGTGAAGGGAGGTGTTTGACCCATTTCTCTATGCGATGAACTGTTGTCTATTCAGGACCCCTAAAAATGAAAGGGTAAATGTAATTCTTTACAAACGCATAGAGCAAACCAATATGGCAACCACTGCGGCTAAAATGCTCAGAAATGTAAGTATGGAATGAAAATATTTTTTAATCCACTGGAATATTTCATCAGGACGCAAATGAAAATATAATTGAATCGCTGTGACAAGCATTTCAGGAAAACAACTATTTATGCAAAACAACCATGTAAACATTTGAATGAGAGTAACATTCGTTACTCCTGTGTGCCCGTAAATGAAGTTTAAAAAAATAAAAATCTAAGTTTTTAGTGCAAAGCAGAATGGACAGAAGTAACGTGCATTGATCAATCGATAAATCTGTCCCATCTGTCCTGCAGTTGTCAGATGTGTCACTATTATAATGTTGGTCGATAACAGTTGTTAATATAATATGTGAGTTGATATTGTTTGTCACTGTAATAAAGTTGGTTGGCTGCTGATGATCAGGTTTTGCCCAAATAGTAAATAATGGTTAGGATCAACTCAGTGTTACTTTGGGATTTTTATAGGATTGGTTGACAGACATCATCATAATAATAATAATAATAATAATAATAATAATAATCAGAGCAAAAACAATACGGTCCTTGCACTTTCAGTCCTCAGGCCCTAATAATAAAATGTAAGAAAAGCAATACTGTAGGTTGTCTATGATAGTGTTGGATCAAAGGACCAAAGAAATTCCATAGGAAGACTCAACTATAAGACTTAACTATTCCCAACTACTGTTTCTCTACTTGGTACAAAAAAGGAAAACGCATTGACCTGGTATTGCAGTACTCCCAGGAACAATACAGTAAAGCACATTGATGTTGAAAAAGAACAGTTTAAATTTCAGAAAAATTCATACTACAGCCACAATCAATTTATAATTGCTCTGTAAAGAAAGTCTGTGACACAATGACACAGTATCATTCCTCAATAATGTAGTGACAGATACTTTGCCTTTAATAATGACTGTTGTTTTTGAAATTTCAATCACTGTCCTCTGGTGTTAAATTAAAGGTTTTGTTTGGAAACCTTTCTTAACAGCCTTCAAACAAATGTACAGTGATTAGAAAGTTAGTTTTTCTTTTAAATGTTAGAAAATGTTTTCTCTTTTATTAATAATATTGTACATTTTAGGCAGAAATAGGCTCAAATGTAAACATTCATGGGTGTAACATGTTTTTTTTCTGTGTTCTAGGGTTTTCATCAAGCTACCTGCAGTCATGCCATTTTTTAAATCAACTCAGTTAACACCACAATGCACAAAACTGTTAGATGTTAAGTCACAGAAATGTGGACTGCGCCACACAGTTTATGCAACAAATGGAGATAAATACACCGGAGAGTGGCAAAACAACCAGAAGCATGGTAAGATTCTTTGTTTCTTTCACTGAACGTTGAGATATTAGTGAACATTTGGTTGTGGTGCATTACAAATATCAATTGCACTTTACTTAAAATGTTTTATTCTTATTTATATTTTCAAGGAACAGGAACTCAGATTTGGAAGGAATCTGGAGCATCTTACAATGGAGAGTGGAAATTTGGAAAACCTGACGGATATGGCAATTACTGTGTACTCGTGTCAAAAACGAAGAAGTATATGTATCAGTACAGTGGAAATTGGAAAAATGGAAAGAAGCATGTATGTATCTTATATGCACCTATATATGCACAAAACAACTTACATAGTTATAATCTGTGACATGTTTTTCATCACCATTCATCACTTAAAGGTTCAATGTGTAAGATTTAGATGAAAGGGATTTATTGATCTATTATAATTCTCATAATGTTTTCACTAGTGTGCCTCATCAAAATAGTATAAATTGTTGTTCTTACATGTTTGGAAGGGAGGGTGAGGTGAGGGGTATTCAGCTGCAACATGCAGTTTCACCACTAGAAGTCACTAAATTCTACACACTGTACCTTTAAGGGATATGGGCGGTACTTCTATGATAACTCAGCAGTTTATGAAGGTGATTGGAGTGAGAACCATCGGACTGGCTTGGGAAAAATGTACTATGGGAATGGAGATATCTACCATGGAGAGTGGATGATGGATAAGTGTCATGGAAAGGGCAGCCTTCAATATGGTAAGAGCAATTCGATTTTTATTTGAAAAACAATTGATTGTAATGTAGTTTGGAAAGATCACAAAAATCTTGACTTTCCAACTTGTGTGTCCAAGCAAATGGAAACTGGTATGAAGGAGACTGGAAAGATGGCAAGAAGAACGGTAATGGCAAGTTCTGCTATCCTGACAAAGGCCGAATTTATAAAGGCTTTTGGGTGGATGGAGTTGCAAAATGTGGCACCCTATCCTATTTTGGGAAGGATGATGCACCAACCCCAACAAATCATCCAATTCCACAGGTATGATATTATAACTCTGGCTTCTATAACAGCCACACAAAATTCAAAGCATTGCCTAGATTTTTCTTTTATACCTATCATTACTTATCCAGTGAAATATTGTGGCTAAAAACATGAACATATCTTCTTTTTCAAGTTACAACTAGTGGATATGGAGTTGGTTTTAAGGGATGCCCAGGCAGCCAACTTTGATCAGCGCTCTAAAAAATAGAGGATCTATAGCCCACAAGACACAAAGTAAGTAAATCTCTTCACCTATATCATTTATTGCTGTATCTTATTACATGTCTCTAATCCTTGGGTCTTCTCCTCCCCTCTTTGGTCCAAAGCTGTGCGGGGGAGTGCCCGGGGGGATCAACGCGCCCTTAGGAAGACCACGCCAACGTCCACGTGGAGATTTCTTTTTCCTTTAGTTCCCCTATTTTCTTTTCTTCACTAACCCCAACCGGTCCTGGCAGAGGCCGTCTAAACCGAGCTCGGTTCGTTTCTTCCATCTGGGAGTTTCTCCTCCCCACTGTTGCTCATGCTTCTGTCTTTTTTAAGATCTTGGACTTTTGTGCGGCACCCTGAGACAACTGTTTGTTGTGATACCGTGCTACATAAATACATTTGATTTGATTTGCTTGCTGTGTCAGACGTTTTATAACAGCCATCTTCAAGTCCAACCATTTTGACTTCATTAACAGTGCAACCAACAGCTGACACCGTATGACCCGCATTTGTTACCTTTTCCTATTCTTTGGCTTTAGCCAGTCATTTTCTTCCTCTGATGAAACTCGGAAAGATATCTGATTTTTGTTTTTCATTTCCAACAGCAGTACCTTACTCTACCAAAATTAAGTTTTCTTGCTTCATCTTTAAAGCCATTTTCATGAATGAACACTTCTGACACAAGGAGCAGGAAGCTTAGCCTCATATGGTATTATTAGGGCATTATTACGCTAATTTGATATCATCAGGCATGCTCATTAAAAAACAGTGGCAATCATAATGTTTAGGCACTCTGTTTATCTGTTTGGGATCATTTGCTACCAAAACACAGGCTCTCTTGTGGTTCCTAGAGTCTGTAAGAGTAGAACAGGAGGTGGAGCATTCAGCTACCAGGCTCCTCTCCTGTGGAACCAGCTCCCAATTTGGGTTCGGGAGGCAGACACCATCTCTACATCGAAGGTTAAACTAAAAACGTTCCTTTCTGATAAAGCCTATTCGTTCTGGATCAGGCGAGTCCTGAACCATCCCCTAGTTATGCTGATATAGGTCTAGACTGCTGGGGGAACTCTGCTCATGAACTGAGTACTTCTCCCCTTCTTTCTGACTGGCTTTGTATATTTTTTCCCTCCCATAGTCTCTCTCTGTCTCTCTCTCTCTCTTTGCAGGTATCTCTGATTACAGAGCTGCAGTATTCAGACAAAAACAATTATTATTATTATTGCTATTTGATGAATTATTATTTTTATCATTGATAACATCATTACACTCAGAGCTGAAACCTGATGGTACACAACTGTCCCTGGTCTCTCTCTCTTCGCTCTTCTCTTTTCCACCCATTTTTCTCCGCTGACCCCAACCAGTCGAGGCAGATGGCCGCCCACACTGAGCCTGGTTCTGCTAGAGGTTAATTAGTTTTTTCTCTCCAAAATCACCTAAGTGCTGCTCATTGTGGGAACTGTTGGGTCTTCCAAAATTGTTAAGGTCATATGTAAAGTGCCTTGAGATAATGTATATTATTATCCTGTGCTATACAAATAACATTGAATTGACATGAATTGTGCTCTTTTCTGAAGATGTTTGTTGAATCTGTTGTGTGTTGTTTTTCAAATATTTGTGAGCATGCCTAAAAGGGAGCCTGTGACTCAATAAATTAATTAGCAGTGACAGCTGTATGTAGTTGTGCACATAACACATAAAGTATTGAGGTCAATCAGTCTATTTAGTATATTGTTTTATTTGATGTTCTAGCTAAGGTAAGCTTGCTAGAAAATAATAGGTCAAGAGCTAGCTAGCTAACATCTAGCTACTATTTTATATATTCCTCTTTCTCACTAGTAATGGATGTCAAGATAACCTTGACAAATATAACTTTTTACAAGATATCAAATATTTTCTAAGGTAAAACAATTGTTAAATAATACTTACATGCATCAGATGGGCAAAAGCAGCTGTGCGAAATGGGTAATTTTTGCCCCATTTGTGTAAAATTGATGTAGAAATACAAAACTTTTGTTTGTTCATAAAGTAAGAAGGGAAAAATAGGAATAATGATTTGTGATAATTAAAAACAAGATATTTAATTAATACCTGGAATATTAAATGAGACCCTCAGCCATGCATGAAATAACATAGGAAATGAATAAAACATTTTTTGACAAATGCTGTGCATTAGAAGAAAAACATTTTTTATTCAAAAAGTAAGAAATCAAAATATTTTTTTTCACATCAGCTGCAGGAATTAAAGGTTCTTTTTCAAATGCTTCTTATCTACTGTACAGTGCTGGGTAAAAAAAATGTTTATTAAAACCTGGACACTATGTCTGTAGTTTGGGCCACTATTTCTATCAGTTATGATAGCGACATCCAACTGTTCAAAACAGGTGGTCAACAATTGTTTGCAGGTAAAACTGAATGTGACAATGATTCATTCTCACCATGGTGCTGCCAAAAAACAACAAACTGTCTGCCAAATAGTGTGACAGCATGCTTTCTTTCACCTGCCAGATGTGATGATTTGTACTAACCACACACAGCTGGGATGTTAATGTCATATGGTCACATACCAAAGTGTCATGGTAAATTAGTCATTCGTGTCAAATATGTGGCACTAGAGGCATGGTGTTGAGCATAGGTGGGGATAATGCAAAGGGTTAGTTGATGAACTATAGTAGCTCACACGCTAGTGATGAAATTTTATGGTTTACTTTGACACACAAATCACTCCACAATCACTTGAAAATGTTGGATTTTGATATAACATTTCAGTTTTCTTTACTGTGGCATTACATAACGTTTAGTCAAAATATACAACTTGCCTTACAAAAAATAGCCCATGTGGACAATTATCTTCCGAACAAGTAAGACAAACCTCAAAGTTTTTTTGACCTGTGAAATTATTTGTTTTCTGTCTTACAGCAGTTTATCAATGAATTGCTTGATCTTAGCTGCAACAGTATGAATACTGGGCAAAATGAACAAAGTAGAATCCAAGTTGTAATAAACTAGATATTTGGTTTACGGCCACTTCTTTTAAATACTCTCACAACTTGACCATCATTACCCTAGTCCAAACTATATAGGTTTCACTGCTATTGGTAAGAAGAGGCCACAAGTGCACTATTTGTGAACTCAGAGATGTTTCCTTTCTAAATTCAGATGCTGGGTAAGCATGCTGTTATGAGTACCAAAACACACACACACACACACACACACACACACACACACACACACACACACACACACACTAATCAATGTTATCTTCGAACTGGCACTCGAACTGCGCTCAGGGACCGAAAGTGAACTGACCTGAAACAGAAAGCAGAGCTAATATCGACCTGACCAATCAACGATTGAATCTTGGACAGATGAGTTTGTAGGTCCACTCATATGCACCCCAAACTCACTTTTTTACACACTACTGACATACGTTTAATGTAAACAAGCTAAGAAACATAGTTAACAAGTTCATAATCACAAATGTTGTTAGTTAAGCTAGCTGTAATCAAACCCCTTCTCAAAAAACCCACCCTGGACCAGTTGATCGTGGACAATGATTAAAAGACTGCTTGATATACAATATGTCTCCGCAGATACTTGACCATTACTGACAATATTTCCTCAATTCTTTTACCTTCCATCATGCTGCAAACTATTTACTCTAACCAATGTTGCAATTACTCTCATTTATTAATTTTCCATTTCTCTCTCTGTCCCCCTCCTCCCCCTCCCCACTATCTTTATCTCTTCTCTCCCCTCTTTTTCACCAAACTCTCCTCTATTCCCGTTTTTTCTTTGCTTACTCCAACCAGTCGAGGCAGATGACCGCCCACATTGAGCCTGGTTCTACTAGTAATAAATGGATATTCAGAGTTGTAAGATTTTGCTTTAAAGTTCTTAACTGGTTATGAAACAATCATCAGCAAATGCGATCAGTGGTTGGGGAGAAAATTGTCCTTTTCTACAAAATATTCTAATATTTTTTAGAAAATTGTCTTTTTCTACAAAATATTCTTCTATTTTTTTGCAGGAATGGATTAACTGCAAAGTAAGAGCAACAATGTACAACAGTCAGTCTGAAATAGCCTTTGTTTAGGTTGAGGGAGAGGAAACAGAAGGCGGGGAAGGTGAGCAGAGCTATGCGCTAGGCTAAAGGCTAACCCATAAAGACCAGCGATGGCTGAGATTACCTCATCATTACCTCATCGCTATGCATCCTGCAAACGGCTGTGTGTACTGTTGTGGTTTGAATTTTTGACCACCCCCTTGACATGCTTAGGTACGTGCGCCCAGGAATCTCTTTGACGGTCTGAATTTGGAGCAGAGAGACAGTGGTCTGAGAAGAGGATGTAAACTGATGCAGTCCTTGTTTCATGTGATATCACAGTAAAAATATCCAAAGAGAGTTGGGTCCCAGTGTTTTCTTGGTGTGTGTCCTGAACTCGCTATGTGTCCCCACTACTTCAAAAACAAATGCACATGCTGTCTGGACTGAGGTTTTTATGACAGTGGAAACACTACCACTGGTCCAGGGAGGCGCCAAAATCAACAAAAATAAAAAGGTCCTTGTAGGAGCTTAAAAGGCTACTTTTTATATTACAGGATGTATGTGATTTAAAATATGATGCTCTAACATCATGCTTCCATATCATTTAGTGAGATATATAGGTGAAGTGTCATGTTGCAGCTTAATACTCCTCTCTCACTCCCCTTCCCAGTTTGGACGGCAGTAAAAAACATGGTGGCCTCCACCTAAATCTTACACACTGGACCTTTAAACGTACAGTGTGTAGAATTTTGTGATTTTTTTTTAGTGTTGAAGTTGCATGTTGCAGCTGAACACCCCTCACCTCACCCTCCCCTTCCAAACATGATAAAGAATCTGTGGTAGCTTCAGTTGTCATAAAAACTCAAAAGGTGTTTAGTTGTCCAGTCTGGAGTAATGTAAAAAACATGGCGGCCTCCGTAGAGAGGGTCCCCTCAATGTAAATATAAAGTATTTAAATATAAAGGGCCTTTTCTGGAGTAAAGAAAACTACAATTCAGACGATTTAGATGAAACGAACTAGTGAAAACATCATGAGGATTATTCTGCATTAAATTTCTGCCAATAGATCCCTTTCACCTAAATCACACTGGACCTTTAAGGCTAAGGT